AAAGTCGAGGCTTGAATTTTTGCTCAGTTCCCTTAGCTTGAGAAATGCTGAGCATATTCCTTCCTTTTGCTGGTGCCCTCTAAAAGTACTAGGCCTTTCAAGTGACAGTTGGTCTCTCTGTGTTTTAACCCATTTTCTTTAAGAAAATCAGAAAACCCGAAATAGTTACAGGGAGACAAGGAAATCCTCTTCTTTTTTTTTGAGGCAGTAAGCCACCGTTTTGATGAGAGTGGGAAGGATAAATTCACTTAACAACATTCACTTAGTAAATACAGCCTGACACTATATTAGGAGTTAAGGGTGCACAGATGAAAAGCTCTGTTGCCTTTTAGAAACGGTCTGATATGGAAATCTGGGGGAGAAATAATTACAATACAACTTGCAAGATGTAAAAGATGTAATCTGAACAGCCATAAGGTAGTGCTTGAGGCTGCCTGGATGGTCAGGAAAAGGAGAAAGAAGAGTCTACCTGGTAACTGGACGAGGGAAAGAGTTGCAGATGACATGTGCAAAGGATGAGAGATGTCTGAAATTAAAAAAAAAACAACAACAAGGAGTTCATGGGAAATTTCCAGTAATTCAATATTAATTAAGAATAAAGTGAATGAGGTCAAGTAGTTGAGTAGGGCCCAGATCTGAGAGTTTTCTGAATTTCCAACCAAGAAATGTGTATTTTAGAATGATCACATATGTAACAAGTAGAGAACAAATTGGTGAGAGAATGAGCTACCAGAGGGTGACCATTAAGAAAAGTAATTAAATTATCCAGGCAGAGATGATTATGGGTCTAAACTATCAGGGTATTAAGAATGGGAAGAGAAATTCAAATTAGAGGCATCATCATTCAATAGTATTTGCTTCTATTCCCTCTGGTTTTTGTTTTGGGGGATGTACACAAAAACACCCAGGAATCATTTAAATAACAAAAGGGCACATTCTGCAAGCCAGCCTCCTGGCTGCCAGCCCACAGCCTTTTTCTTTCCATGAATCTAGACTCCTCAGCTGCTCTCTCTCTCCTTGCTCTCATCTCTGCCTCCATTTCCGGTGTCACTGCTTCTCTGAATAGTGCTCTTCTCTGAATAGCACATTCACTCGTGCTCTTCTCCCTTGTTGGTCCTAGGGTTCTCTGTTCCTGGACTGTAAGATCAACTACTCCCCAATTTTTGTTAAAAAAAACTTCTACCTTTACAGTTGTGACAGTCACAATTAGTCATGATAATTACTCACTACTAAATCATAAGAATCTTATACCCATCTCTTTTTACCAGACCCATCTAGACAAGATGAAAACTATTCAGTGAGGACTATATCTTCCCCCACACACTCTTAAACTAAACTCCCTCTTAAAACCTTGTAAGCCAGTCACTTTGAGCCTTTATGGACCCCTCATTTTAGGTAGCCAATGTCTAAGTTGCCCATCCCTAATTACCCTGTGTACAGACGGGATAGGATTTATACTTGATGTGACAACTCCTTCCCTCTCAGTTGGTATTTTGAGCTACAACATCCAAAAGTATAAGTCAAGTTCAACAAATTTTAGCAATTTATACTTCTTTTCCTTTATCAAAAATTGTTTTTTTGGTTTTTTTTAATCTTCCCTTAGTCGAGTTCTGATCATCGAGGCTATGTCAAATGGGTACAATCTGCAAGTTTGGGCGTTCTTCTGCATCTCTGCTCACTTCATATGTACAATTGACTCTTGATCATATTCTGTTTTTTAAAATTGTTGAACATCAACCATTTCATTTTGGTTCACATCAAACTGAGTTGAATAAAATGAGTAAAAGCAATAAACACAAATCAATCATATGTCAAACAAAAGACAAAGACAGACGGGATGAAACAGAAGAATCAAGTAGCAATATAATAAAAGACTAAATATGTTAACAAAAACCAATGAGCAGCCTTGAACATTGAATAAAGTTGTGAATAAAGAGAGAAAGCAATTAGACACCAAAGGTTCTTTGGGCAGATGAATGACATCATAAATAACACATTTTATAAAAATTATTTTGGAATCTATAATTATGTAATATGGACTAAATCAGAAAGACAATAGAGCTAGAACACATATAGAGATATCTAGGCCAAAGGATTCTATGTGTATCTGTGGAAATGAAAAGGATTTCATCTATAAAATAAGCATATGGTGAACAATGTAACGTACTCCTGGTGTGGTGTGTAGGATCAGCACTGACTGTGGGCCACAAGGTCAACAGTTCAAACCCACCAGCTGCACCTTGGAAACTCTATTCAGGGTCGCTATGAGTCAGAACTGACTCGACAGCACTTAACAACAACAACGACAGTTTAACAGGCATACCTTAAAGCCTGCAAAAGACAGAATCTGTGTAAGATGGAAACCTATCAGAGAAGGAAAATTTAAATATTTTACACTAAAAGGAACAATGAAAAAGTGATAGGACAGCACCCTGTCAAAGGTAGAAAACCTGCAAGACTAGATAAACCAAGGCAGTTTTATCAATTTCAATTCTCAGATGTCTTACTGTATTTTTAAGGTCTTTAAGTAAATTCTATAAGAATATTGTTCATATTTAAAGACATTCACTTACCATATTTGTCTCGCAAGCCAACGGTGCATCTAAAGACTCCACCAAAGGCAACATCTTCACCAAATATTACTGAAAAACAATGTTTAAAGAATATATTTTATTTAATAATCCCTAAAAAATGTTAACTTTGAGAAATAAGTAATATAAATATTTACATTTTAAATCACAAACAAAAATAGACCACAGAACTAGCTCAAGCTCTCTCAAACTCAACGTATTTGACTAGATAATTCTTTGTTGTGGCTTCTGTCTTGAGTATTATGTTTAGCCACATCTCTGGATTCTATCAACTGGATATTTACGCCTTACAAGTTGTGACAACCAAAAGTGTCTCCAGATATTGCTAAATGTCCCTGGGGTGAAGGGCTACAAAATTACTCCTTATTGAGAAAGAACCACTAATCTAGAATTTCATCTTGTTTTACCCATGAGGAAAATATGATGCCAGAGAAGATGCAAAGGGACTTGACTTGCCAAGTCAGAATGCTAGAAGCCAAAATATGGCTCATACTCCAGGTTCCTGAGTCTCAGGACATGAGTTTTCTTACATGCAGTATATAATCAGAGTCAGCCATCTGAAAAGCTGAAGGATTACTCGTATTGCATGGAGGGGGCTGCAATCATTGAGATGAAACAAAGCGTATGACTTGTTGAATATAAAGCTGATGATCTTGTCTATAAACCTTCACTCAATTCACAATAAAAAGTTAAAAAAAAAAAAAAAAGAGCTGAAGGAAGACCATTATATATACCTTGAGAGTTGAGAGGCAGCCACCTGAAAAGCTAATGGAAGACCAGCCTAAACTTAGGGAATAGTCATGGATAAAAAAATGACATAGATTGTGTGAAACAAAAAAGAAGCACATATAACTGGAATATAGTAAACAAGGCAAAGTATTGGCAAAATTGAAAAGATCTTCATAATAAGGCAAAAATAAAATTATGGATATTAAGAGATCTAAATTCTAGTCCCATAAAAGCAACTAACCTATTCTGTGAACCTCAAGAAAATAACTCAATTTCTCTGTTTCAAATTACTTAATTTTATAAATAAAAAACTAGATTGATCCTCCTTGGTTCATATTCTACACAAATCACATACAATTTGAGGAACTAGTTAGGAGCCAATGACAATTCATTTAAAATCAATTCAGTTAGTATATATAAAGTAAAAAAAAAAAAAAACACATTTATACTAATCACTGCTCAATTCATGAGTACTAAATTAGCCACAGTTTAGACTTTAAAACAAATTCAAAATATAAAAGTATTATTTTTTCTATTTGAAATTAAACTTCCACTGAGATATGCTGATAATTGTTATTTTTCAAAGATCTTTAATAACAAAGCAACTAAAAATTATCATTAATCAACTATACTAAGGGCATGAAACAGTTGGGAATACAATATAGCTTTCCTATATAGCTGACTCAACAGCACTTAACAACAACAACAATACAGCCCAGGTATGCAAACTTGGGTTTAGTCAGGCACCACAGTTGTTGTTGTTAAGTGCCGTCGAGTCAGTTCCGACCCATAGCGACCCTGTACAGGGTTTCCAAGGGTGTAAATCCTTACGGGAGTAGAAAGCCTCATCTTTCTCCCGCGGAGTGGCTGGTAGTTTCACCACAGTACTGAATATAAATACAGGTACTCTCATATTTAAATATAGATACATTTTTGTTGTTGTTGTTGTGTGCCGTGGAGTCGGTTCCGACTCACAGTGACCCTGTACAGGGTTTCCAAGACTGTAAATCTTTAAAGGAGCAGAAAGCCTCATCTTTCTCCCGCATAACAGCTGGTAGTTTCAAACTGCTGACCCTGAGGTTAGCAGCCCGATTTGTAAGCACTACGCTACCAGAGCTACTTTATATATGTATATAGGGGGAAATAAGAGAGAAAGAGACCTGGTATGGTGCTCCTTTATATATGTATATAGGGGGAAAAAAGAGAGAGAGAGACCTGGTATGGTGCTCCTTTATATATGTATATAGGGGGATAAAAGAGAGAGAGAGACCTGGTATGGTGCTCCTTTATATATGTATATAGGGGGAAAAA